TGTTGAGGTGATTTTTTCTGTCTTGTCATTTTGTGCAGAGGAGAATAGATTAATGAGAGAACAAAATGCTAGCAGAGTAACAACGTCTCGAGAAAATACACTCTAAACAAATCAGAAAAGACCTGAAGCAGTGGGAAAAGAAAGGGAAAGAGAGAAAAAAGAAAAAGAAAAAAAAGAAAAAGAAAAAGATAAAGATAAAAACAAAAACAAAACAAAACAACAACACAACAAAAAAACAGAATGTGATCAAATATGATCAGGCTGGTATATAGATCAGTGCCACACACTAGATTTGGGGTGTATTTTGGTCTTTTAGAAGAAAGTGCCTCCCAAAATTTTAAAGAAAGAAAAACTTATATATGTCCAAAAATAAGGGTTGATATGATGAAGGGATGGAATATGACTGTAATGATGGAAATTATAAAAAATTTTATAAAAGGAATTGATAAGAAGTTGTTTGAAAAAAGGAAGAAGAGGATTTAAAAAAAAGAAAAAAGAAAAAAAAGGGAGAGGATGTGATCAGGCAGGGGAATAGAAAACACCATATACTAGAGATTTAGGGTATATTTTAATCTGTTAGAAGAAACTATCTCAAAATTTTAAAGAGAGAACAACTTATATATATAAGCCAAAAATACGGGTAACTACTATGAAGGGATAGAATATGACTCTAAAAATGAAAAATAAAAATTTTTTTTAAAAAAAGGGATTGATAAGATGTTGGTTGAAAAAGGGAAAAAGAAAAATTCAAAAAGGAAAAAAAAAAAAGACAGTTAAAAAAAAATTACCTTTGAAAGACTAAAGAATCATGGTAAAAAAGCCATGAATTCTATGTGCAGTATTCCCCTAGCGCTGGAGTTCTGCCGTTCTCATTGATCGGTAAACTTGGTCTTGGCTGGCTGTTCTCGCTGATCTTCTGGGGAGGGGCCTGTTGCCGTGGTTTCCAAATGTCTCTGCCGGAGGCGGAATTGCCCTGCCCTTGCCCCCTCCCGGCTAAGTAATCTGCTCGGGTTTGCTCTCCGGGGCTTTTGTTCCCTGCGAGCTTTCCCTACAGCTTTGGAGGCGGAGAGTGAAAATGGCGGCCTCCCAATCTCCGCCCCGGAGGATCTGAGTACTCGGCCCCGCTCCTCAGTGAGCCCCAGAGAAAAGCCATCAGTCACTCCTGTCTCCCCGGTCTCCGGCCGCACTCCGTGCTCACCCGGCCTGTGACCGAGCATTTCTATCTCTGGCACCCGACCCCGGGTGGAGTCTCCAAACCCAGCAGATCCCTGCGGTACACTCCCGTGCGGTTCCTCCCAGGGAAGGAAGGTGAGTCTCCCCGGATCTGCCGCTTGTTGGGTCCCTGCTGGAGGAGCAGGGGCCCGACTGTGCCGCGGATCCCGGTTTATGGCCACCCCGAGCTGAGAGCCCGCGCCTGGGCTCCGCCTCTGCAGCCGGCTTCCCTGCTCCGATACCTGGGAGCTCTGCCGCACTCAGGCACCCCCGGTCTTTCTGTGACCCCGAGGGTCCTGAGACCACACTGTCCCGGAGGGTTCCACCCCCCGCTTAGCCACCAGAGTGACGTCCCTCAGCGGAGCAGACTTTTAAAAGTTCCGATTTTGTGCTCCGCGGCTCTATCACTTGCCAGAAGCGGCCGACGGAGGCCCCTCCCCCACCGTCTATCCTCCCGAATATCGCCTCGGATTCACTTCTCCGCACGTCCTACCTTCCAGAAAGTGGTCGCTTTTCTGATGAGAGAGTTGTTGCTCTTCTTTTCTTCGATCTCCTGTTGGGTTTGTAGGTGTTCAGAATGGTTTGATCCCTATCCAGCTGAATTCCTGAGAGGAGACGAAATCCAGGTCTCCTACTCCTCCACCATCTTGCTCCGCCCCCAATTTATTTCTTGTTTTGCATTTCACCACTTATAAACACCCTGGGAAAACCTCATCCGGTACAAAGCACCCTGTCAGCGCTCAGTTACAAAATGATTTCGTGATTTATTGGAACAATTGAAAATGACAGTGAAAAGAAGCACTTTTTGCTGCTTTTTTTTTTAGTGTCCATGCAGTTGGCGTATTCTACTCCTTGGCATTTATATTACTTCCATATACAGGGCAGAGAGTTAGGGTTACTCTGTGGGCCATTTGACAAATGGCTGTGTCTCTTCAGGGTTGTCTGATTCTTCTCATGAGAAGGTTATTTCAATTTCTGGGAGGAGATATTGTATGATAATTGAGGCTAAGCTGAGGAGCCCTGTAAGAACTAGCTTGGGGACAAGAATCCATTTGCCCATTCATTTATACATACATTCATTCAACAAACATTGAGGGCATGCTGAATTAGGTGCTGGGCCCCCAATGATTTCATAGTCTGTTCCAAGAGATGGATACTAAGCAGATAGTTATAATATATTGTGTTAAGTAAAACCATGCATGCTGATGAGCTCACTTAAGAGTCCGAAGAATGGGAAGAACATCAGGCTCAGGGTGGGTAGGGCCAACATTTCAGGAGCAGAAAGAGAAGACCACTAAGGAAACAAGGAAGGAATCAGAAAGATTCTTAGGAGTACCAAGAGAACAGAAGAGTTGAAAATGTTTATAGACTGAATGAAGGAGAAGGAGACAGTAAATAGATGGAAAATCCAGGAGTTATCAGGGATGATGAGTAATATAGGAATGTAGGAAAATAGGAAGTAGGAAAGGAGAATTCATTTCAAATACAATTCATATAACTACTTATGTGTTAAACGAAGAATTGCCTAAAACTTGGTTTCAAGGCTGTTGTTTAAAGTAGGCCCAAACAAATCAGTTTATTTCTTACATTTGTCAAAGCTACTACTATTTACTTAATCTAACATATTTATTGAGCATTTTTTTGATATTAGACACTCTTAGGTTGGCACCTCAAGGGATGAACTATGAGGGATAAAAAAAATCCAGCATGGACCTAGCCCTCAAAGAACTTGCAGCAAGATGAACTACATACGTAAATATTTATGATACACTTTTTACAGGATGAAAAGAGAAGGAAAAACTAAAGAGCATGGAGGCTTAGAGTGCCGAGATTGCTTTTAGATTGGGGATTCAGGGAAGCAGTAATGTTTGAGCTAAGTCTTGGGAGATGAGTAGAGATGGAAGTATGTGTAGGTCAAGCTTGGGGGAGAATAGGAGCTAAAGCACAGTGCATGAAATTGCAGGACACTGTCAGTCATGCATTATTGCTCTTCACTATGTCTCTATCTCCTGACTGACCCTCCTATGCTGAAGACTGTAATTTACCTTTATAGAGCCTCATACGGTGTTTTGCCTGTAGTGCTCACTGAGTGTTTGCAATATGAGTTTAACTTGACGGAGACATCATCTTTGTCATGAAATTACTTATTCTATAGCATCACCTGTGCTGGCTTCAGGAATAAAGCAAAAACTAATTTAATGACCAGAATTCTGATGTTTATGAGTAAATAAGGAATACAGGTCGATTACCTTCTTGATTTGATTTTTGAGGATGACAAATCAGAATTTATAAATGAACTGAAAGCATGTAATTTGTAACATTCCTATATAGGACATGAAAACAATTTAAGATAGAAGCCACAAATGTGTAGATTCTTAAGACTTTGATCAACACAATTTCTTTGGGATCTACTTTAAATGACATCATCGAGGTCAAGTTTTAGACAATTATTTTGTTGGCATGTAAGTGGTTACATTTGTTTTATACTTTGAAATGAACTCTGTCCTTTTAGGATTAAAAAATAACTTGTACAGTTGATTTAGATTAACAAAGGATGATTTTATTTTTATTTATTTATTTATTTATTTTTAAAATATTTTATTTATTTATTTGACAGAGAGATAGCGAGAGCAGGAACACAGGCAGGGGGAGTAGGAGAGGGAGAAGCAGGCTTCCTGCTGATCAGGGAGCCCGATGCGGGGCTCGATCCCAGGACCCTGGGATCATGACCTGAGCCGAAGGCAGATGCTTAACGACTGAGCCACCCAGGCAACCCAACAAAGGATGATTTTTTTTTTTTTAAAGATTTCTATTTATTTATTTGCTTAACAGAGATAGAGAGCACAAGTAGGCAGAGCGGCAGACAGAGGGAGAAGGAGAAGCAGGCTCTCCACCGAGCAGGGAGCCCGATGCGGGGCTCTATCCCAGGACCTTGGGATCATGACCCGAGCCGAAGGCAGCTGCTTAACCGACTGAGCCACTCAGGCGCCCCAACAAAGAATGATTTTAAAAAAACTAATATTTTGTAGTTGCATCTGTGTATTTGCTTTGATAAACATAGGGAATCAGATTTAGAATACAAATTTTATTAGTGGAACTACTTAGTGATTTCAAAGAAGTTCTATTTAATATGTTACTTATGGATTTAGGGTGGACAGAAATATGGGGAATTAGAAAATATGAAATAATTATAGGCCACATATTTTCTTATTGATCTTAGAAAAAGAAATAATTAACAATATTTGTTAAAATAAGGTAGAATGTATTGTATTGTTTTAAGGTTTGCACAAGAAAATGGAAGGGAGAAGATGTTGGTCCAAGATGATTTTGTATTTTTGATTATGTATAAATACTTGAATTATGTATAACTTTATTTTCTCCATTGGTTTTTTTGAGAGTGATATTCAAAACAAATTTGAAGTCATGGTTTGACACGTTTTATCTTGCTTCATAAATTTCTGAACTATCTAATTTAATCTAGTTTTCATTTCACAAATAGTGAAGTCGAATTAAGCAGTTTGTTCACATGATATGCGGTGAAATATAGAGACAGGTCACCTTTTTATGTTAGTGAATTGACAGGAAAAACTCATGAAATCTCACAGGCTTCATGTCACAGATGACTAAAAATAAACTTCCACAAGTTAAAACTAACTGTTTTGCTCATTAAATCATTATAAATGCAATTAAAAATAATTCCCTAAATCTTTTTATGTAGGTAAGTAAGCAAGCAAAAATAGTTAAATAACTCATATGTTTTCTTGTCTTTTTTTTCTTTCTCCTGATAGGACCAGACATATTATCAATCATTTCAGGTTTCAGAATATGGTAAGAGTTCTTCAATTCATTTTGAAAGAAAAAAATATTTGTTCCTTTCCACAGAGATAAGAGAAATTTCGAAGAGATATGTTATTTAAAGTAAAAATGCTAGTGAAGTACATTCCTGGTGTTTCTTACAGGCCTACCTAAATATATTTTTTCCTTTGTAAAAGATATAAAGGTCATTATAAAGAAAAATATAGGAAACAGATCACCTAGAGTCCCATTATGTGGACTCTCTTATGCATAATTTTTTTGTTTTTCTACTTTGTTGTGATCTTAACATATTTTAATTTTTGTAATTTTTTTTTTTTTAAGATTTTATTTATTTATTTGAGAGAGAGAATGAGACAGAGAGCATGAGAGAGGGGAGGGTCAGAGGGAGAAGCAGACTCGCCGCTGAGCAGGGAGCCTGATGCGGGACTCGATCCCGGGAGTCCGGGATCATGACCTGAGCCGAAGGCAGTCGCTTAACCAACTGAGCCACTCAGGCGCCCTAATTTTTGTAATTTTTTTAAACATAACAGTTATTTCCCATATTTTTCATTTGGTTGGCTTTGGTAAAGACAGTCTGTTTGACTAGGGCAAATCCTCTTCTTGCAGGTGTCACATTTATATAACAGTTAGACATACATAGATAAAAACATCATGGCCCGATATTTTGTTGGTGGATGGAGAGGAAGGAAAGCTAAGAATAGGATCTCATCTATTAGTATAGGGTCTGACTATTAGTTTTGATTTGGATGGCTGTTTTGAGGTTACGCATGAGCTTTTTCATTTGATTTGTGTCACTTTTTGACACTGTGTCTCATTCAGGCAACAGAAATTCTGGAAGGTAGTTTGTTTACGTCTTAGTGGCTCAGGGTCCACATATCTCATACAGCACCATCACTTCTAAGTCTCATGATCCACTAGAACAGGGATCAGCAAAATTTTTTTCCTCGAGAGGGTCAGATAGTAATATTTTAGGCTCTGTGGGCCATATGTCTCTGTCATAACTACTCAGCTTTGCTACTGTAGTAGGAAGCAGCCATCGACAATATGTAAGTGAATGTGGCTGTGATCCAGTGAAGTTTTATTTATAGACACAGAAATGAAAGTTTCCTATAATTTTCACATGTCATAAAATATTCTTCTTTTGATTTTTTTTCCCCCAACAAATTAAAAATGTAAAAACTATGCTTAGCTCATGCTGGTTATCATTTACTAACCCCTGATCTGGAACCGTGTTGTTCAAATTGGGGGTCACTTACCACATGTAGCTATTGAGTGCTTGAAGTGTGGCTAATCCAAATGGAGATGTGCTCTAAGTGGGTAAACAATCAGATTTTGAAGACTTAGTAAAATAAAAAAATTAAAAAAAGAAAGAAAAATAGCTCATTAATAGTAATTTTTTATATTGAGTACATGTTGAAATGATAATATTTTAGGTATATGGCATCAAATAAAATATTACAAAATTTAATTTCACATGCTTCTTTTAACTTTTTAAATGTGGCTACTAGAAATTTAAAATTACACAAGTGGCTCACATTTTATTGCTTTTGGACAGCCCTGATCTAGAAGAAGAAATCAGAGGTGGCCAAGGTTTTTATAGGCTATTTTCATTTCACATAGAGGTGGTGCTGGGTGATTATATGTTGTTGAATTGGATATGGGGGAGGTAGGGAATTGATTGCCAACCTATGATGTTTGAGGAGGGGACATTTGAATTCTTTGTTCTAAGGAAATTTCACCTCTGAGTGGATCATGTGGCTTTTTTGGCCCTCCAGTCCTAGATTTGTCTAGGACTATCTTGACATACAAAGGGCCTTTGGCCTGGTTTGGAACTGGAGGTCTGATCTATATTGTTGACCCATTGGCCTTCTTGATACTTCTCTTGTGTTACTTGAATGGTGAGATGCTTTGTAATGAGACTGATCTATTTCTTTAGCTAGTGAAGTTTGAGAAAAAAATGTCTATAGACCGGAAGGATACAATTTTTTTTTACTCTGGTGGTATGCTTTATATCAAATAGTGTTCATATTTATAAAGTATTTCACATCTTAATTATATAAAGCTGACCAAAGTAAGGGTTTTTAACTTTGGGATTGCCTTCAGGAATCACTGTCACACAAGAAAAGCATCATTACTTTGTAGCCGTATCTTAGTGATTAACTCAGAAATCCTACTACACAACTTTCTCTTCATAGCAATCCATTCCATTTGACTGTCACCAGATTCACCTTTGATTGTCTTGAAGAATAAGGATTCTGTATGACTACATATATGGTACCATGTAGAGGGAGAGTCTTGGGGCCCTAGGGTGTGTTTTTAGTAACCATGCTGGAGAGTAGTCCTAGGAAAAGGGCTGCTCTAGAAGCAACTGTTTACCACGTGATGTGGAAGTATTTTTAACAAGCAGTAAGGGAGCATTAATGAATGGGTGATGCCTGGTCTCCCACCATTCAGATGCCTTGGCTCAGGGTTCTGGATACAATACAGGTTCGACCGATGAGAAGCTTCCGTTGACACACATGTCCATAGTAACTGGTCCCCACTGTCACTGTCTAGTCATCAGCCTCGTAAGGATTTCTCATTTTGGGTGAAATGAAGTGCTTTTCATCTGTGTGTTAATGTGTCTTTGGATTCTAAGGAATCTAAGTTCAAATAGTACCAATTGTCGACTTCTTTAGAACAATGTAGTCTTTATTTTGATAAGCTAAAAATGATAGGAAAATAGATTCTTTAAGATATTTACCCTTGCTTCTCTTTTCCAGTATTGCCCAAATTTGAAGTTACTTTGCAGACACCATTATATTGTTCTTTGAATTCTAGGAGCTTAAATGGTACTGTCATAGCAAAGTGAGTATCATTTTTTTTTATGGCTATCTACTGTTATAAAACTGACAAAGAGCTCATTATATACTCCAGAATATTAGCAGCATGTTCTGCTTATTAAAATACTGCAATGCACAGGAAACAAATATCTGTAATAAATAATTAAGCATGGAACATGTCTGTACAGGTCTTTGTATCCACCTGCCTGCTTCCAAGCTGATCCAATCCTGAAATATTTCCCACAGACGAGTATCTTTCTGATACTAGTCAGGGGATTTACATTATAGATTGTTCCAGATTTTTAAAAAAAGTTGTATCTTTATCCCTCATTCAGCTGACATGGATCGAGGCTACTTACCTCTTCTTCAAACTTAAATTTTTTTCTGTCCATAATGGAGGTTGAATCTTGGGGGAGGCTTTTGGTTATCTTATTGCAGTTAGCAAACAAGTAAGGAGTTCACCCTCCTTGTCATTTCAGTGGATGTATACGGAGAGATTCCAGCCCACGTGTATGATAGATGTATCATGGCTCTCATGATTTTGATCCACTGGCTTGACCAGCATAGCGTTTCATTTTGTGGAGGCAAAAAGCATCCTCAGAGTCCCAGACTACCAGTTCCCCAAAGTGTAGGCTGGAGTTATTCCAGGCCTGATCTTATGTAGCTTTCATTTTTGATGTGTGAATAGCTGTGCTTTGGTTCCTGAAATTTATTTAGTTTCAGAATTCATTTATAATAGTTGATAAACACTGGACTCCCTCTCACTGCTTTCTCATTGCCATATCCCTCTCTTGGTGAGGCAAGTGATGGGCAGTGAGTCTCCTGATGGGAGCAGCCCATAGACAAAACATTGTGAAGACTCCTGCTTCAGATTTTATTTGGCAAAAAAACCCACAAACAAGCAAACAAACAAAAAACATGTAAAACCCCTGCAACACAAAGGCAAAAATGTGTCTACAGTTTATATACCAACTTAGTTTTCTGCCTGTGTTCAACTAAGAGGTGGCTTCCAATATGAATTTGGGTACTGTGGATGGATTTATGGTTTAGAAAATACATAAATGCCTGCATTTTACATAATTATTATCCTGCCCTGGATCTGAGCTGAAGGCTAAGGATTCTGTCTGGGTTTTATTTTGAGTTCTTTGACTAGAGTTTATAAAACAGTGAGTGCAAATCCACACAAACCATCAGTGTCCTCATGGATTGGGTTGAGTATGGATACCTTCTTTGCTTCAGGTTTTTGGTTTTCAGGGCTGTCCCAGGGATTCACTACAATCAGTTAAAACAGTGATTCTTAAACTCTGGTAACTCTTCAGAAAGTTTTATATACAACTTTGGGGGGATGTGGATCCCCTGGTACCCTCCTCCCTGCTAGCCCTGTAAGAACTCTTATAGGAGCATCTCTTTACTTGCTAGATGGGATGCTGCCCATTCACGAATTGCTTAATAAAGCCAGTTAGATTAAAAAAAAAAAGAACCCTCATAGTTTCATCTGGATTCTCATTTGTTGAGCCTCTTCGAAATACTAATGGCTGAGAACAACATGACCATTGTGATGACCCCTGGTATTTCTTTAGCATTCACCACATTGTACTTGCATCATTTTCCTTAGGACCTGTGCCGGTCAAGGTCCCACAGGAGAAGTAAAGCCAGTAGGAGATGTATATTAAGAGGTTGTTGCAAGGAATTGGCTTTTACATGATTGTGGGGGGCTGGCTTACCTTCACATTGAGGATATACTTTACATCTTTGTAACAGATTAAGGAAATCTTTTGACCAGCAGAGGCTTTTATCAGTCTATAAAAATTGGCATAGACCTATTCCATAAATACTGTGTCCCAGAAAAGATGGAGATGTTGATGAGGATGATGATCCAAGGGTGGATAATAAACGGTTTGGGCTTTTCTTTTGCTAGTAGCCATCTGTCCCATCAAGGCATAGTTAAGGTGAAGAGCATTGCTGGAAATTTCCCAGAGAAGAAGGTTAACAGTCTCTTTTTGGTTTTGAAATCTTTAACTGAGATGAATAAAAATCTGCATTTGTTTATTGGCTTTGATGTGAACATCTGCTCACTATTCCCACCTCATTAAAATGATAGACTCTTTTTCCACTAACCACAGAGGGTTCTAGAGGATTGTAAAGAAAATAACATAGCACACATCTAGTTATTTCTATATATTCTGCAGACAGTAAAATCTAAACAAATATTCTTTAGGCTAAGGTTTATTTAAATATATTTATTATTTGAGGAGACATTTGTATCTTGGAAATGACATGGAAAAAAAGGTGGGAGAAACATGAATTATACTGGCAGGTTCAGTTTTTTAGGTGTCATTTTGTAAACCTTTTGTGCTATGACTATTTAAAAAAATTCTTGTTTTGTTAATGGTACTACCCTAGAATATGCTTGATTTGCTTTTTAAAATGTTATTCATAACTAATGAATCGTTGACCACTACAACAAAAACTTATGATGTACTATATGTTGGCTAACTGAACATAATGAAAAATAAAAAAAATTTGTCAAACTATTATTTTCTGAATCATTAGTTTATTCCACATGCTCCCAGATTTATTTAGGACAATAATTGTCAGTAACCTTGTTTCATAATTATTATAATCAGCTTGAGGCAAAGAAAGCTAAATCTGCTTCACATTTAAACAAAAATAAAAAATATTTGTATCTGAGAATACATTAAATTATGTCTGGATTTTCAAGCCCCCTGTACTATCATGTGATAGAACTCTTAAAATATAATGTTCTGGTATCCTTATGCATTTATTTAATCTTTAACAAGATACAAGAACTGTTAAATTTCGAGGACTCTCTTTTGAATGAATGAATTTGGTGCTGAAGTTGCTGACCAGGATTTCCACTAACTTTACTATTTTTGTTTGGAAGGCAATACATTTGAAAATATATTTGTTTTATTCTCCTTAATTTGGAATGTACTATATCATTGCCTTTTGAATTGAGTTGATCCAGATGAGGGGATGTTTCTGTGTTCAACTAATGGATTCAGGAAGCAGGAGTTTACTGTTAGATTTATAGAATGCAAAGCAAAATTGACTTCCACATTTGGCTGAGCATTTATTACACAATAGAAATGGAAGGAACCCAGGAAATACATTTAAAAAAGGCTTTTTGGCAGTAAAATGGTTTACCAAAGATTGCCTCTCTTTTTCACATGAAGAGATTTTCCCATCAGGAGAGAGGATAAAATTAATACATAGAATGTAAAGCAGCAGAGAGGAGATTTGACTCAAAAAGATAATTTTGATACTATGGATAAAAAAATTACTCTTCTTTTACATTTTTCTGCACAAATCCAAGTTTTGATAGCCATGAGCACACTTGGCGCCCCAGTGTATTGTCTAATAAACCCTTCTGGTTAATATTGGAACATGCAACAGTGGGTCTTGGTGATTGCAATTTCAACTACCATTTAAAAATGTTCAAAAGCTGCGAAGTGTCCTGGGCATGCTGTTAAATGACCAGTCTAGATTTCTAGGAATAAAACATTTTTGTAACTTAAAAAAAAATCTTTGGACAGGAAACTGCACTTGCAGTTTCTCTGGAGTGTCTAAAATGGTTAGAGGTAAAATATGTATTATGAACTGTTTTGAAGTATTGTAATTAAAAGTCTTCTCATTTTGGAGACTTAATTTCAAGGATCATCATTTATTAATGATATTCCTAGGTGTGATTAGTTTTAAAAATTTGCAGTGAGAGTATTTTTAAAAATATAATTCTTTTAAGTTGGATTGCCAGTATATGCTATTGAAAGTAGTATTTTCTTTTTTTTTTGAAAGTAATATTTTCATGTGCTATTTTGATAATATCAAGTTGAAAATGTAAAAAAATATATCATTTTTCAGGTATACATATGGGAAGCCAGTGAAAGGAGATGTAACACTTACATTTTTACCTTTATCCTTTTGGGGCATGAAGAAAAATATTACAAAAAATTTTAAGGTAACTTTTACAGAGATCTTATAACTTCTAATGGGGAAACACTGTAAGTATACTTTTACTAGAAATAAGATTTCATACAGAATTAACAAAGAATTGAGTGTAAGAAAAATCAAGAGTTTTCTAGAATTGGACAAATGAGAATCTACTCATTTATACTCCAGAGCCATCATATTTTTGTGACTTAGTTTGAATTTTATTTCTAAAATTTGAATTGCTAAAGTGAAGAATAAAATTGAATTATTTTGAACAAAACAGATAAATGGATCTGCAAACTTCTCTTTTAATGATGAAGAGATGAAAAAAGTAATGGATTTTTCAGAAGGGCTTTCTGAACACATGTATCTGTCTTCCCCTGGGCCGGTAGAAATTTTAGCCACAGTGACAGAATCACTTACAGGTTTGTAGACTTTGAAGTGAAGGTAAAGCTATTTATGTGCTACTCTCTCTCCTTTCTTATTATAACTAGCACATTCATTTGGGAGCCTTTCTAAAGACGCTACTTAATTCTGAAATTGTCATGACTGTTAATTAGTGTCAGTTGCAGAGTGTTTTCATTATGAAGGGGAAACTTCTTTTCTTTCTTTCTTTTAATTTTAATTTTAAATTTTGGGGGGAATACCTTTTTCTACCACAGTCTGTGCTTCAACCACATGGAATAGGTATTTGTAATTTCCTCCATTTCTGCTTTCTTTTCAACCTGGAAACTACATGGCAAGTCCTACCTTTTCAGCTAACTAACCACCTTCTGTTTTTTTTTTTTTTTTTTAAATCATTTAACATCGGGGCGCCTGGGTGGCTCAGTTGGTTAAGCGACTGCCTTCGGCTCAGGTCGTGATGCTGGAGTCCCGGGATCGAGTCCCGCATCGGGCTCCCTGCTCGGCGGGGGTCTGCTTCTCCCTCTGATCCTCCCGCCCCTCTCATGCTCTCTCTCTCTGTCTCATTCTCTCTCTCAAATAAATAAATAAAATCTTAAAAAAAAAAATCATTTAACATCTTCTGAGCTCTTGTCTGCTCATGGACAGTTTTCTTTTTCAAGAATAAAATAAAGGTTAATTGCTTGGATCTTTCTGTTGTTATCCACAGCTTTCACCAAACCTCGAAAGAGCAAAAAATGATTCAGTCGGTGGCCTTAATCTGCAGTGTCCATGTTATGGATGGGCATAGCGGTGGTGGTGCTTAGAGGGGTTCATGGAGGCTGTAAGAGAACTGTATGGTTCTCTTTATGACCAAGCCACTGTGGGAATGAGGCTTCTGTGCCCCATTAACTCCTTGGGGAAGTAGCTTAGATAGATAGAAAACTTTGGTGATAGAAGCTGTTGGTGAAGTATAACATTTGGTTTCTAAATGGTGCAATTTCCAAAACAGGTATCTCAAGAAATGCAAGCTCTAATGTATTTTTCAAGCAACATGATTACATCATTGAATTTTTTGATTATGCTACTGTCTTGAAACCATCTCTCAACTTCACAGCCACTGTAAGTTGGCGTGTTTATTAATGATCTAAAGCAACAAGTTCAGTTTAATGAAACAGAATGGCAGATAATATTTTCAGCGCTTTTCAAAAAAAAAAAAATTAAGGGGCGCCTGGGTGGCTCAGCTGGTTAAGCCGCTGCCTTCGGTTCAGGTCATGACCTCAGGGTCCTGGGATCGAGCCCCGCATCAGGCTCCCTGCTCCACCTCGGTGGGAGGCCTGCTTCTCCCTCTCCCACTCCTCCCTGCTGGTGTTCCCTCTCTCACTGTCTCTCTCTGTCAAATAAATAAAATCTTAAAAAAAAAAAAAATTAAGCCCAAAGTAGATAGATTACTTTTCCCGCTTAGTTATATGAAGTATGTAGAATTGTTCCCAAATGACCTTTGTCTAAGTTTTCTTAAAAAGGTGGTCTCCAACAAAAGTTATTTTCCTCAAAATTTATTTAATAAGGAATTTAAGTTAGATTTGGATTGCTACATTGAAGCTTTTATAAATATCTTGAAAGAATTAGGTGTTAGTCAAAAAATTTCAATTTCAGTTTGATTTTCATAATCACTAATTTTAGTTCTAACAAAGATGTTGCATTAAAAATTATCAACAAATCTCTCTCTCTCTCTTTTTTTCCCCTTGAGTTAACACTTACTGAGTGAATTTTGACAATGTGCAAGGCAGGGTGCTGGGTGGGGCTTACAGAGCTAAGAAGAACCCAGTCTCTACCCTGGATTCACAGTTTTGTGATGGTGACAAGTCATACACACAAGTATGACTTAAAGCAGGATAAGGTCACTGTCATGCATACATTTCTGTAGTGATTTAAAGCAGGGGTTGGCAAACTTTTTCTACAAAGGACTAGATAGTAAATATTTTTAGCTTTGTGGGATATATGGTCTCCGTGACATCTACCCAACTCTGCCATTGTAGCATGAAAGAAGTCTTTACTACTTTGTAGCCAGGTCAGGGTGGCTGTGTTCCAGTAAAACTTTTATTTACAAAAAGACTGGATTCGGCTTTCCTGCCTGCCATAGTTAGTTCACTGACCTCTGGTTTAAAGAAAGAGGGTATGACTTCTTATTGAATGGATCAAGAGAAATTTTAGATAGTTTCTGATTTCAAATATAATTTAGTTTGAAAAAGGAAGAAAAAGACCCTTGAGGCTGCAAATGGTAACTTCGAAATGAGAGTCTGGGAGGAAGAGTTGGCTTTGGGATAGGGACGAGGGTCATTAAAGGATGCTTTATGGAAGGGCAAATTTAAGCTATTTGTTAAAAGATCAGTAGGATATTATTTTATTTTTTCAAAGATTTTATTCATTTATTTATTTTAGAGAGAGAGAGAGAGAGAGAATGTGCGTGTGAGCCAGGGGAGGAGCAGAGGGGGAGGGAATAAGAAGGGTAAAGAATCTCAAGCAGACTCCACGCTGAGTGTGAGTGTGACTCAGGGTTCGATCCCATGACCCTGAAATCATGACCTGAGCCGAAACCAAGAGTCGGACGCTTAACCAACTGAGGCACTCAGGTGCCCAAAATCAGTAGGATTTTAAATGTTTGTTGTGGGGATGGGAGATGGGGAGCAAGATGAGCTGAGACAAGGCAAGAGCCCTGCTTGGCAAGTTCAGGTGCATTCACCTAGATCAGTACAATTGTAGCAGGGAGTTTGTGTCTGGGAGTGGTGAGAGAGAAAAGAGGAGGCAACGTGTGGGGAGTTGTCAAGGATCCTAAATGACACATGCATGTTTTTGAACTTTATGCTCTAGGCAGTGAAGAGCCTGGGAGCCTTATGAATGTGGGAGGGGTATGGCAAAAGTGGTATTCCAGGGAGATGGATGAGGGCTGTGTATAGGAGGATGGCTGCAGCCCAGGTGTGAGGTGGCGAGGAAGCTCCAGGGGGGGCGGGGATGTGCAAGTGGAGAGGACACAAGAGAGAAGTACAAGACTTGGTATAGATTGGATTTGGGAGGTGGGTATAGGGAGGGGAAACTGAGAAATGTGAAGTCTGGCAGAATTGTGGTGTTAGCAAAAATAGGAGAGGCAAGATGGTTGCTCAGTTATAGATGCACTGAATTTGAGTTGACAGGGATATTTAAGTAGAAATTTCCTGCAAGTGGAAATTGGAGGTGTTGAGTATGAGCTCCAGAGCAAGGTGAGGAAAGCAGTAGGAGTGCTGAGATCTTTGAGAAAAAGAGAAGCACAGATAACTGATAATTTAGCCTTGACAAATTCCCACGTTTAGGGAGAGGAAGGTGGAACCCAAAAAAGACACTGTGAGGATGCAGAAAGAGGGCTCTGAAATAAAGAAGGTTCTTGTGGAGCCATGGAAGGCAAGAGAAGCCAAACTATCAAGAAGGGAATGGTCAGTGGTGTTGAAAGCCTTCTAGAGAGAGACTACTTCATCTGGAAGTTAGGGTGCTACCAACAGTTTTTGAGAATTCAGTTTCATTGGAATAGCACAGATGGGGACTGGATTCAACTGAACTTAAAACCTTTGCTTTTCTTGTTACCTGTTTTTAAAATGTTGTGTTTTGACAATTAGGTAAAGGTAACCCGTGCTGATGGCAATCGACTGACTTTTGAAGAAAGAAGAAATAATGTAGTTATAACAGTGACACAGAAAAATTCTTCTGAGTACTGGAGCAGATGGGACAGTAGAAACCAGGAAACAGAAGCTGTCCAGATCATAAATTCTACCCTCCCCCAAAATGGAATCTTTAAGATTGAATTCCCAATCCTGGATGATTCCAGTGAGCTACAGTTGAAGGTACCATCTGTTTCTCATCATTGTCTTACTACAATAAGATCATTGAAATTGTAATCTCATGGTAGGCACTCAAACCATTAGAGGTCAAAGTGCACAGGAAGTAGGAAGTAAACACATGTTTCTATTTAAAAAAATGGAGGAAAGCATTATAAGCAGTTTAGTAACAGTGGCTGAGGGGTGGACCAAATGCTTCCTTGTAGATTCATTTTGAAGAACACAGTAAAATATAGCGCTCTGAAGATATGATGAAGAAGCTCCTCAGATTCCCAGCCTAGGTTGGTTTTCAATCACTTGAAAGTATATTTTGGCAGGAGCTGAAATGAAAGAGGAAAATATTTTTTTAAACCTATACTCCTTTGCTGAGCTCTTTCTCAGAGTGGCTCATCTGAGACACCCCAACCATTCCTGCTATCTTTCTTTTCATTGCCACAGGTTTGGTCCTTTGAGTGTTACTCTGACTACTGGTAGATACATGGGTTGGTCTGATTTCTTGCTTGTAAATGAATTCTGTGTTGTGGAGAGAGGGAAAGGAGTTCTTTCTCATTTTGTTCTCTCTTGTCATAGTGTTTCTTGATAATGTACTTTTATTTCTGAAATAAGTTAGGACTATGCTTTTTCCTCTTAGATTATGGTGATGAAGACCCTCTTCTGTGTTTTAAAGCTGTCACTTTCTTTATAATATAAGCTATAAAGTGAAGATCCAATGTCTGGGGAACATTTTTTTTTTTTTTTGCAAGAAAAAAGTAGAAGTGAATTTGCTTTTCAGGAATTGTTCAAAATATAGTATTCTTTCTCAGGGTGTTACTGAAGATTAAAATTTATAGCTCCCTTTTCTTCTGTTAATAGGCCTCTTTTCTTAATAGTGTGAGTAGCATGGCAGTTCATGGTATGTTTAAGTCTCCCAGTAAGACATACATCCAGCTAAAGACAAGAGATGAAAATATAAAGGTAATGCTTACAATCACTTACAATTACAGTATAATTGTACTCTTTTGCCATTCATATGTGTTTATTAAATAAGTTTTTTTTTCCCCCCCTAGGTGGGATCACCTTTTGAGTTGGTGGTTAGTGGCAACAAGCAATTGAAGGAGTTAAGCTATATGGTAATCTCTTACAGAATTTAAATTTATTATTTGTTATAGGATCATCGAGAATGATATCTACCTTATGTCTGTACTCACTAATTTTTAAAATTCAGTCTTATATCCTTTAGCCTGCCCTTTTTATATTGCAATCAAAATTTCTTTTTTCTTCCTTCACCTGTATTTGCATTTCCAACTTAAGATGGATAATTAAATCTTGCAATCTGTTTAAAATTTAAATTTCTATCAGATAATCCATCTAAATTTATTGTAGAAAATTACAAAGTATGAGAAAAACAAAACAAAACAAAACAAAACAAAACAAACTTGCTACCCATAGCCTTGAATTTTGCTCATCCGGCTCTCCCCAGTGGTGCTCTATATTTCTCCTGCTCAAAAATAGATTCTTGACTGTGAAGGTACTGTTGTCTCAATCAGTATTTCTTTATCTTATCCTTTTCTGTTTCCTAGCTTGTCCTTTCCATGTTGGTCAGGGAAGTTTCCTTGCATTCAGAAAGGCTTGAAGTTGGTTTAAGTCAACGATTTGTGTGTATGGTTGAAATTATTATGATTGTAGCTGCAGTTGAGATTCTTATTAGCTTTGGCATAAAATGGAACTCTTCTCTTCTTTTCAGGTAGTATCCAGGGGACAGTTGGTGGCTGTAGGCAAGCAAAATTCAACAACCTTCTCTTTAACACCAGAAAATTCTTGGGCTCCAAAAGCCTGTATTATTGTGTATTATATTGAAGATGATGGGGAAATTATAAATGATGTTCTCAAAATTCCTGTTCAGCTTGTTTTTAAAAATAAGGTAAGATTTAAGGTAATGATGTTAGAAGAAAACTTCACATTAGTGAAGTCTGAGAAATGTTAGTATTTCTTTAGAAAAGTATCACTAAACAAAATTGGTTAGAGATTTATGTTCATTTCCAGAACTATGGTTAAACCTCTTCATATTGTTACTACATATGTATTTTCACATGTGGAATTATCGGGCAGTGTGGGTCTTATTTGTAAGTTATGATTCTTGGCTTTAAGACTTTAACTTAATTCCATGAGGCTATTTCAGGATTTCTCAAATGGTGGAGTCGATATTGCTCTAGCGTGGAATTCCAGAGGCGATTCTAGAATTTGTGTGGTTTTGATATTGGCGTGAGAGTGAAATGAAGGGTGTGGGAGGGAGGGAGGCCGTCAGCAGTGATATGTGGAAGCAGAGCCCAGGTTTGGTTTATCCATTTTATCAGCCTGGAAACTCACCCCGGACAGATTTACAGTAAGCTTGGCTACCTGGCATGTGGAGATCTGTGTGGAGTTTGGTCTCTAAAAGCACCAGGGATTTGTATAGCTTAGGGCATATAGCTTGTTTAGGAAACCCCCTTGAACCCCAACTTTGAAAAGTAAGCTGGCTGCAAGAGTGCCTGGTGGAATTGAATCATCTCACGTATAATAAAATGAGCCATTGTTCTCACTGAAAGCTGCTGCCTTCTCAGTTCATTTTAAACAAAATAATCATTGTTTAAAAGTATTGATTGTGGGGTACAATTCCTTTGATAGCATTCCTGTTTGCTTAATTTGTTAAAATTCTGAGAGGTTGCAGTAGTCATCTTCACATTTTGTCAGTGATGGTTAACTAACTCTGGTTATCAAGATAAAATACAAACCTCTATTTTTCATTTTATAAAGAATTTTTTCAAAGACAGTGCTATCTTCTGTTATTTTTAGAGCACGGATTGACAGAGATGAATTTTAAAGTAGGAGTCAGGCTTAGATAAGGAGGCGTACATCTTTGAGAGTGAGGCCAAGTATTAAAAAAGTTAGTGTAAGAGGTTATTGGCTTTGAGGAAGTGGAGTGTATAAGTAGCATAATTCCAAGAAATTTCTTAGATATGAAAGATAAGAAATATAGTTTCAGCTATATTTGCAAAAATATATTTCTCTGCCTTTTTTTTTCTTTTAAAGTAATCTCTACACCCAACGTGGGGCTCAAACTTATAACCCCAAGATCAAGAGTCACATGTTGTACTGACTGAGCCAGCCAGGCACCACTCTTTCTTTACTTTTTATATAATGTTTATTACATTACTCACAAAGAAACTAAAAATTTGAAAAGAGGTTATATTTAAGCAAGAGAAAATTAGTGAATCTTTTTTTTTTTATTTTTTTTATTCTTACGTTAATCCCCATACATTACATCATTAGTTTTAGATGAAGTGTTCCATGATTCATTGTTTGTGCACAACACCCAGTGCTCCATGCAGAATGTGCCCTCCTCAATACCCACCACCAGGCTAACCCATCCTCCCACCCCCTCCCCTCTAGAACCCTCAGTTTGTTTTTCAGAGTCCATCGTCTCTCATGGTTCGTCTTAGTCTTTTTGATGTTCAGTAATGACTGTGGAATAAATGGATAGGATGTGGAAAGCACAAAAGATGGAGGTTTAGAAATCGTCCATACGCAAGTATATCTTGAAGCCATGGGGTCTCGGAGGTACAGAGTTAAAGAGTGAGAAGTGCAAGTTTGGAACATGTTGCTCTCCTCCCCTTCCTTTTGGGTATAGGTGGAGAAACTTAAACTAAAAGTAAACTAGATAATAGTTTTATAAAATATTTCACTGGACAAGTTGAACAGGCAAGTCTTTATTCAAGACTATTGCAGTAGGGGGAAAGAGATTGAGCTCAACTTCACTGAAACAAAAGGCAGGAGAGTTTTAAGCAGAGGATGAGCTTGTGGAAAAGTCCTGGAGGACATCAAGGGGAGATTGGTCAATGTGATTAGGCCATCTGTGTTTGCTAACTGGCAATGTATAAGTTAGGCTCCTTTCCACCACAGAGACGGAAAGATCCATCAGGGACTCTGTTTTTTTGGTGACTACATTTCAAAGGATTGACTCTCAGGTCCTTGAGAAAGACAGTCCTGGGTTGTAAAACTGTCAAGAGGCTGGGAGAAGACTTACATTTCAAAGGGGCAGAGAAAGAATTTACAGTTGCAAGTTTTCTAAAGTAAATGCTGTAAGAAAAGGGAGTTTCGGGGGCTAATCAGGAAGAAGCCTGTCTGATGTTTAGTCAAGCCGAGGGGAACATGAAGGCCATCTTGGTCAGGAGATACAGTCACTGCATCAGTGGCCTATTGAAATAGAGCTAGACGGGACGCCTGGGTGGCTCAGTCATTAAGCGTCTGCCTTCAGCTCAGGTCATGATCCCAGGGTCCTGGGATCGAGCCCCGCATCGGGCTCCCTGCTCAGCAGGAGGCCTGCTTCTCCCTCTCCCACTCCCCCTGCTTGTGTTCCCTCTCTCGCTGTGTCTCTCTCTGTCAAATAAATAAATAAAATCTTAAAAAAAAAAAAAAAGAAATAGAGCTAGACAAGATGAACATTCCTAGTAGGAAGGAGCCTCATGACAAAGCCATTCAGTTTCAACCTGTTGAGATGATTGAGGCTCTTTAAGGAGTACTAGCTAGGACCATGCTTTGATGAATGTAATGAACAGAGGATGTTCAGGTGGCCATGGAGACATAGAGCATTGGGCCTAACTTGTGTTTGGTCTGTTCACCTCCTCCCTTGGAAAGACATCCCCCTGCTCCCAGCCCAGGCAGTTCTGTGAGTCCCCAGGGGAGCTCTCACTTGACTCACTTCTAAGTTCAGGTGACCAGCATGTGAGCATCTCTGGTTTCTTTCCTCTTCCCTGTTCTTCCTCCAGGATCCTGGCCTTCCCCAGGTGTCCCAGAGAACACTGCTGCCTTCTCTTTAACATTGGCTGGGGGCTGAGGGGTGTGGGATGGAGAAGGGGAAGAGGAGAGGTAGAGAAATGAAGCCTAAATCAGATTTATGCCACTGTGGGAGGTTCTATGACTTGTAAACACCGTTAATACATTTTTTTAAAAAAAATTTTTTCCCTGTAGAAGGCTTATGTAGGGTTTTAGAATGATCCCTCCGTCAAGGCAAATGTAGAATCTTTGCTAGATTTTGAGACACTGAACTGATGTTGGTAAGACATGTAAGTAATGCTTTTTAAAAAGTCAAATAAATCAGTCCTGTTTTATCCCTTTCTTAGATAAAGCTGTTTTGGAGTAAAGCTCATGCTGAACCATCTGAGAAAGTCTCTCTTAGGATCTCTGTGACACAGCCAGACTCGACAGTTGGGATTGTAGCCGTTGACAAAAGCGTGAATCTGATGAATGTCTCAAATGATATTACGATGGAAAATGTGAGTTTAGCTATTTTTTTCTTACAAAAATACATGTTTAAAGAGCAAAAAGGAAACCTTATTGCATTACCTCAAATATCTAAAGGGAATTTCATTAGTTCCTTTTAAGTATAAGTCAGTCATCAGTAAAGCTTCCAAATAAAAAGGATTTGCATTCTGGTTGTTATGTTGGAAAGAGGTTGCATGTGGTGAAGTGTCTTTGCTGTCTTAGATGAGAGATGCCATCTAGAGTTTTCCCTCATTTTCATGCTGTATTTGAATTTAAGACTCTCGAGAAAGTACTAGGAAATTGACTTGTATAATTTTGGATGACACTGGAGAAGATAGCTTTAGATAATTTTGAAGTAGTTTCTGTTTTGGTTATACATAATGGTTATATATAATTACAGTCTTATTGAATCAGGAATTTGTAGTATATTGAGGGAGTGAAATCATGTTAATCTGCAGAAAACTTATAAACCAAGAAATATATAAATATCTAGTGTTACATAAGCTAATCCCCTATTCATTAATAATTTCATTTTTATTTGTAAGCTCTTGATATATCCTTGTGTGCCATTGTCAGTTGAAATCTAGATTGTATAACCTAGGTCTATTAATTGATTAAGTATAGTGATTAACAACATATAGGAGGAAAGATATAAATGTTTAGGCTAATTTGGTCATCTTGTTGTAAATTAATCCACTTGACAAATATTATATATAATTTTCAGTCTATAAAGCTAATTTTTCTAAATGCCCCCCCCTTTTTTAAAGATTTTATTTATTTATTTGATAGAGAGACACAGCGAGAGAGGGAACACAAGCGGGGGAGGGGGGTGGGAGAGGGAGAAGCAGGCTTCCCGCTGAGCAGGGAGCCCGATGCAGGGCTCGATCCCAGGACCCTGGGATCGTGACCTGAGCCCAAGGCAGACGCTTAACGACTGAGCCACACAGGCACCCCTCTAAATCCCCCTTTTTAAAAAAAAACTCCTTTAAAGCTGGTTGGTCATTTTTTTTCTCTTGACTTTTTAAAAATTCACATTATTCTAAAAAGTCTATAGCATTTTGCATTTGATTTAACTGAATTTAGTAATATCTCTCATTTAATGGGTTTCTAAATTCTTAAATCTATTATTTCATTTTTGTTTCCCTGTGTACGTATGCACGCGTGCGCGCACACACACACACACACACACACTAGTTGGGTGACCTGGAGAAAATTCAACTCTCTGAGCCCCAGTTTCTTTATTTCTAAAATGCATAATAATAGGGGCGCCTGGGTGGCTCAGTTGTTAAGCCTCTGCCTTTGGCTCAGGTCATGATCCCAGGGTCCTGGGATTGAGCCCCGCATCGGGCTCCCTGCTCAATGGAGAGCCTGCTTCTCCCTCTCCCACTCCCCCTGCCTCTGTTCTCTCTCTCGCTGTGTCTCTCTCTGTCAAATAAATAAATAAAATCTTAAAAAAAAAAACCAAAATAAGAACCTTTAATAAAAAAAAAAAGAGAGGGAAGGGTCAAGCTCCAGGGACTAGAGAACTACTCTTGATCCTCCCTGTGTGCTGTTGGCTTTTATTCAGTGTTTTACTTTTAAGCTCTTAGGGAAAAGCATCACCAAGAAGAGGCAGTCTCTTAAGATTATGATGCAGCAGCCCTGCGAATTTGGAGGACAAGAGGAAGAGTGAATGCTTGGGGCCATGGGTCTGTGCCCAGGTTTTCCTCAGTTTGTCCCACCGGAAGGGCAGAGGTGCTGACTGGTATTCCCTGCCTGACACTCTGCAACAGGTAGTGCAGACTGCTGCTGCAGCTGCCGATTTGGGCAGTGCAAGTGCAAGCCATGATGGTCCTGACGCTCCCCCCGGGAAAGAAGCAAGAGCAGAATTCAAAAACCTTTTCCTCAGACTGTCTGCCTCTCGCACTTTCTGCCACCCACTTCCTCCCAACACACCAATTCAAGATATCCTTCACTCTTCCCAGGGTTTTCTCCCACCACTCATCTGAGTTTCCTACTTGCTTTTATTGTTTCTCCAGAGCTGGCTCTGGGGGAGGGTGTCAGGAGCCCGTAGTGATAGACCATTGTGGTTTCTTTTGTTCTTGTTAAATTTATAAGTGGTGCTGAGAACACCTTGGGAAAATTTAAGTGTGCTAGATCTTCCAGAAATAATTTCAGACACCAGCCTTTGCTGCAGCTTTGGCAATGCCTTTTTATTGAGCCACTGAGAAAAGGAGAATTTCTTTTTGAGATAGATGTTTCTTCCTGGATAATTCCATTGATTCACACGGGAGTGTCAGCAGAAGGTGATCTTGCGTGCATTTGTGTTCCGTAGCAGAGTGTGAGTCATGGGCCTAAAACCTTTTCTCTCCGTTATGTCCGGCTCTGCCTCTCTCCATTGCCGGTAGTTGGGCTGACTGTATTTGCCAGCTTGCTGAGATACAATATCCTGTGTTCTCGTTCTATTGCTTTCTTCTGGATGCTGGCACCATGTTTGCTTACCACGGATGTAGCAGTGGTGGTGGTTGGCATGGCGGAAACAGTGTATGCACGTGTTTAATTTTAGTGTGTTGTATGGTGATTAACATAACATAATAAAAAAAAAGAAAAGAAGAAGCAATAAACGTGGTGTGTTTTTTAAACTTGTGCTTAGAATCTTCCATGATTTTTATTCCTGCCTTCTTCTTAATTTGTCTGGTTAATGCTAATGTTAATAAGGGAGATGCATTGGAATAGTTACCATAAAGGGTATCATATCTTAACTTTTTTAATGTGGTGAAATATCTATAACATAAAATTTGCCATTTTAACCATTTAAAAAAGACAATTCAGTGGCATTAATGACTTTCATTATGTTGTACAACCATCACTACTATCTGTTTCTGAAACTTTTTCATCACTCCAAGCAGAGACTCTGTAACCATGAAGTGGTAACCCTCCATTTCCCCCTTTCCCCACACCCCAGCAACCTCTAATCTACTTCTGTCTTTGTGAATTTGCCTAGTCTAGATATTTCATGTAAGTGGAATCATACAAAATTTTTCCTTCTGTGTCTACCTTCTTCCACTTAGCTTAAGGTTTTCAGGGTTCATCCATGTTGTAGCACCTATTGGAACTTTCTTTCTTTTTATGGCTGCATAATATACAATTGTATGTATCTACCACATTTTGTGTATCCATTCTTCTCTTGATAGACGTTTAAGTTGTTTCTGTCTTTTGGCTTACGTGACTGATGCTGCAATGAACCCTTGGCATGCACGGATCTCTGAGTCCCTGTTCTTTTCAGTATATACATGGGAATGGAACTGCCAGGTCATTTTTTTTTTTTTTTTTAAGATTTTATTTATTTATTTGACAGAGACACAGCGAGAGAGGGAACACAAGCAGGGGGAGTGTGAGAGGGAGAAGCAGGCTTCCCGCGGAGCAGGGAGCCCGATGTGGGCTCGATCCCAGGACCGTGGGATTGTGACCTGAGCCGAAGGCAGACGCTTAACGACTGACCGAGCCACCCAGGCGCCCCGCCAAGTCATATTCTAATCTGTGTTTAGCTTTTTTAGGAGCTGCCAACTTCACTCACTCTTTTAGCCTATTTTATTCACTCTTGCTAGCAAGGAATGCTGTTCTTAAAAAAATAGCATTGCTAATGTGATCATGTAAATATTTCAATATTGAAAACACTTTCCTTGATGTAATTTGCATTATCTTGATTATCAATGAGGTTGAATAATTTGCATTTCTTTTTTTGTGAATTGCCTCTTTTTGTTATTTAAAAAAATGTAGTTAACTGACATTTGCAGCACTTATATTAACCATCAGATTTAACCCATTTATCTGCCAAAAGTATGGGCTGTTTTCAATGCTGACCCCTATGTGTTGGTTTAGTCAACCAGTGACATTTAAGTTCTTTCTGGGCAAAACTCAAGCATACACTTTTTTTTTAAAGATTTATTTATTTTATTTATTTGTTTTTAAAAAGATTTAATTTATTTATTTGAGAGAGAGAGAGAGAGCACACACAAGAGAGGGAGGGGCAGAGAGAGAGGGAGAAGCAGACTCCCCACTGAGCAGGGAGCTGGGACCTGAGCCGAAGGCAGACACTTAACCGACTGAGCCACCCAGGTGCCCCTATTTATTTATTTATTTTAGAGAGAGAAAAAGAGAGAGAGCGAGAGAGAGAAAGAGAGTGCATGCGCATGCGAGCAAGCAGGGGGAGGGGCAGAGGGAGAAGAGAATCCATAAGCAGACTCCCTGCCGAATGTGGAGATTGGCGCAGGGCTTGATGCCAGGACCCTGAGATCATGACCTGAGCTGAAACCAGGAGTCGGCTGCTTAACCGACTGAACCACCCAGGCGCCTCTCAAGCGTACACTTCTTAGGAACTCTCGATTACTGAACAGAGTAAAAATAAGTTAAAAGAAGAAATGTATTTTTAGCTGATTGAATCATGAACAAGGCATTCAAATATTCTTTATTCTTCCATTTGTGTCATTTTCAAATTAGATAAGCTTGTGGGCTGTGTGTTACCTAAGTAACATACAAGGAGTATGGCAGAGGGCAGAATAGGTTGATACGATTCAATTCATTCCATATATTTTATCTTTTCCTTAGGTGGTCCATGAGTTGGAACTTTATAACACAGGATATTATTTAGGCATGTTCATGAATTCTTTTGCAGTTTTTCAGGTATGTTTAGTTTGTTACATAATTTGAAAAGGTATTAATATCTTTTACTATTGCAAACACTTTCAGAATTAATTATCTGAATAATGAAATGTTAACCTTTTATTAAATATGTTGGTGAAGTGCAGCGTGTTATATAAGTGTAATTTGAAATGGAAAGATAATCATCCTTCCAGTTTTAAAAGCAAATAGAAAACGTGTGTGTGTGTGTGTGTTCTGTGTATAGAGGGAGAGAGAATGCTCATGTACATATGTAAATTCTCAAAAATGAGATAGAGTAAAAAAAACTTTCACATTTGCATAAAAACAAATGAACAAGAGTGAGTTAAGAGTATCGGAAACTGCTGTGACATTTTACAGAGCATTTAAACTTGAACCATAAGAGATGATGGACTCTGAAAAACAAACTGAGGGTTCTAGAGGGGATGGGGGTGGGAGGATGGATTAGCCTGGTGATGGGTATTAAAGAGGGCACGTTCTGCATGGAGCACTGGGTGTTATATGCAAACAATGAATCATGGAACACTACATCAAAAACTAATGATGTAATGTATGGTGATATAACATAAAAAAAAAGCATGTAAAAAAAGAAAATTAAAATTTTTCTTTCTAGGAATGTGGCCTCTGGGTATTGACAGATGCAAACCTTTTGAAGGATTACATTGATGGTGTTTGTAAGTAAAACCTGGCAATGTGCTTTTAAAGTATTTAAATCTCTCATCTCAGGTATTTAAAATTACTTATATAGGTATGAATACTTTCTGGTTGGACGTGGATATTATGATTTTCATTTTCTGTTCTCTTATCCTAAAGTCTTGGCATTTAATGTACATCTGAGCCATGACATGGAATGTTTGTCTGGGCTTCTATCTAGATTTTTGAAATGAATGCTTTCCATTTGCTCTCTGTAGTTCTTTGAGATGGTTATATTTTTGGACACATTGGAAGATCCTGCGCTTCCAATTTGTATGGCAAACTGTGCTATTATTTTGGAATTAGATAAAAGGAGCAACATATTTTTGAAACATTTTTGTTCTCCAGCTTTTTGATGCTCACCTAGAATATAATGCCGTAAAGTATGCTGGTGCGTGCACGTGCACACACATGCACACACACACTCACGTGCACGTGTCTCATCAGTCTGAGTTCTTCCTGGGAAGGGTCACATCTGTACATTTCCCTGTATTGCTAAATAGAGTTGCCACCCAACTAATAATAAGTGTGCTTTTAGGAAGAAGTCAAAATGTTTTGGCTGGAGGAAGTGTATAAATGAGAATGGTTAACTCTAGAAGTTGTTCTCTTTTCTTTCAGGTAACCTTATGCTAATGTCACAGTTTCTATCCCTGAATTCCCTATTCCTGTCAGGTATAAGCCCCACACTAAGCCCACTGGATACCCGAGCCTCTATCCTGAAGCTAAAAAGATAATTTTATAGCCTTAAAAATTTTATGAAGTCATTATGATCTCTATGTATTAAAGACAATATGATACAGTTATTTTCTTCATATAATAATCCATCCTAGACATCTTCTAAGCAATCTGTCTTTTTCCATTCTCTCTTTGTCGGTATCAGCTTTTACCCATCTTTGTTCATCTTTACTGATCAAATCCTGATTTCCACTGTAATACTCATTCTGTTGCTAGTAATACTTATTGTATCCTTTACCTTTCCTGAGAACTTTCTTCTACCTTTTTCCCCCCTATAACAGAAGAAACTTGGTGCTCTTACTAGCATACTGTGTCCTTAGAAACCTTCTCAGGTGACTGACATTTATTTTTCTGCTTCTCTTCTGGATCAGGATTCCTAAGTCCATAGTGTTCAGTGTTATCTTGACTACTTCAAGATCACTGTTCAGCAACCCTCAGTTAAAAACCGTTTATCATTTGAAGCTCAAAAATTTCAATTATAGTTCCTTCAATCAACCTTTAGGTCCCCTACTTTCCCTTTATCTCTGTATACATTGGTGACTCTCACAAAAGATTCAAAGTCTTACTCCTGTTGTCATCCTGGGGATTTGACTGTCAGTGTGGTTGATCCATCTAATGTGTACTATCTTGCAGTCACCACGATGGCATCAGTAGGTACCCAAGGTCATTTTATCACGGGAACACTGCTCTACTTTTAAAATTTCAAATGCCTATCCTTCTACCTTGTAGATTCCTTCACTCCCTTAAGTTTATCAGATGTTTTGCATTTTATTTTATTTTTTTAAGATTTTATTTACTTATTTGAGAGAGAGAGAGAAAGAGAGAGCATGAGCTGGGGGAAGGGGCAGAGGCAGAGGGAGAAGCAGGCTCCCCGCTGAGCAGGGAGCCTGGTGCGGGACTCGGTCCCAGGACCCTGGGATCACGACCTGAGCCGAAGGCAACGCTTAACCGACAGAGCCACCCAGGCGCCCCTGTTTGCATTTTATTTTGAAATAATTTTAGACTTACAGAAAAGTTGGGAAAAAAAATAGAAGTAGGTGATAGTAATAGAAAGAAAGCTTTTAGTGGAATATGGGTCAGGATGCAGTGTTACGACCTCATTAGATGACCTGTTCCTTAAGAATTTGGGATCTGCTGTTTCGGCTTACTTAAAAAAAATTTAGATATGTAAATAATTTGGAAAATTAAAACTCTTCCAAAAATGGTTTAGGTTATATTGACTTTTTTGGAAATGTGTCAGTCTGTATGGCAACGTGACCTTTTTTTTTATAAGCTAGTAAACTGGATGATTGTAGCATCTTGTGGCTGGTGTAGCCAATGGTAATGATCACTAGAGAACTAAAAAGGGAATAGCAAAATTGGAGGGAACTTTAAAAATGTGATTTACTTGTTTTTTAGCAACTGCACTGTAAGTAGTTTTTCAGGTATTGGTTGTACCAGCAGGGAACACTTTTTTTTTAGTTTTGGTGCTGCTGTAACTGGCCTCGGAGCCTTGGGTAAGTCACTTGACTTCAAGGGGTCTCAGGTGTCTTAGCTGTAAAATGAGACGGTTGAATAAGATGAACTGTAAAGTCCCATTCAGCTGAGAGGTGTTGCGGTTCTCCGAACTAAGATTATAATCATCCTCTACAGTGACTTTTTTCCTAACAGTTGTCAATGTTGATTTTTAGATGACAGTGTAGAATTTGCTGAGAGATTTGCGGAGGAAACAGAAGGATACTTGGTACATTTTCATGACTTCTCTTCGGTTAGCAACCCACGTATCAGAAAGCATTTTCCAGAGACTTGGATTTGGCTAGACACCAACATGGGGTAAAGATTTATAATGTTTTTTGCTCATACCTTATTTTGTTTAGTGTTCATTTTAAATAAGTATTGTGTTCTTTGAAGTGTTTCGGTACAAACCTATTGTGATGAACAACGAAGTAGACCAAGAGGTTTTTATTTTAGAATGGTATTTATTGTATTTAAATATGTAGTGTTTAATAAAGCCATGTGCAAACTGGGGCAGTGAGAGTATCATTAAGGAGAAGATAGACCTTCTTCTTCTTTTTTTTTTTTTTAAAGATTTTATTTATTTATTTGACAGAGAGAGACACAGCGAGAGAGGGAACACAAGCAGGGGGAGTGGGAGAGGGAGAAGCAGGCTTCCCGCAGAGCAGGGAGCCCGATGCGGGACTCGATCCCAGGACCCCGGGACCATGACCTGAGCCGAAGGCAGTCGCTTAACCAACTGAGCCACCCAGGCGCCCGATAGACCTTCTTCTAATGAAGGGTGTTTTTAACTTCCTTGAAGTTTCATGGTTCTTGTTTGAGAAAATTGCTGAGAGTACAATAAGCTTATTGCCTTGGGGTGGGAAGCACTTACTCTCTCTACCTTGTGGCTCCTTGTCAGACATCCCCATGAGCCACAGGAAGAAGGAGTGCAGGTGGTGGGAGGATTCGGCTTAGTTGACAAACCCTGAGCTCTCTGGCCTGATGACTGAGCAGATGAATCATGAAATCTTCACATATTTTATAGTCTGCCATTTGTGTAAACTTGAAATAAGACACAAGTCAAACCTCAAAAAAAAAAAAAGGCATAGACTGGGATACAGAGGGAAACTTTTATGCAAATTGACAGAAATAAATCGAGTTAAATTTGAAAGTAGATATTTGTTATCTATATACAACATTTATGATAATAATGATCATTCTAAAGGTATAAACATTGTAGAAAGCTTTTAGTGGAGTATGGGTCAGGATGCAGTGTTTTGGCCTTATTATGTGACCTATTCCTTGAGAATTTGGGGTTTGCCGTTTCATGCTTACTTAAAAAAATTTAGATATGTAAATAATTTGGAAAATGAAAACTTCTAAAAATAGTTTAGGTTATGTTGACTTTTTTGAAATATGTCAGTCCTTGGTGCTATGATTTTTATTTTTATCTTGACTTCAGTTCTAGGATTTACCAAGAATTTGAAGTTACTGTGCCTGATTCTATCACTTCTTGGGTAGCCACTGCTTTCGTGATCTCTGAAGACTTAGGTCTTGGACTAACAAGTACTCCAATGGAGGTAGTATATTAAAGACCTGCTTGCAAATGTTAAAGTGCCCAAAGCACAGAAGTGTGAACTCTTCAATGGATTTTTAAAAAATGATTTGCTTATGATGTTGATCAGTGTTTAGAGATTCCTTGGCTTTTCCTTTTTGTTTTTCATAGGTTTTATACTTTAGAATGTGAGCTATATTAAACTCCTAAATGTGTTACGTCCATATTAAGATTTGGATAAAAACTTTATTATTGACTGAATCCAGCTATTTCCAAAGGCCAGAAGAGAGAGAGAGAGTTTCTGAGTATTCCCTCTGGAAGGGATGGGCAGACCTTCTCAAAATGGACCCTAGCAGACATGCTTTTCCATTTCTGGTCAAATTGCATCACATGTTACTTCCTAAACCAGTCGCTGGCAAGAGGAATATAATGAGCATGTTTGGTCTTAGACCAGTAGCTCTCACCTCTGTCATACCTGAAGCCCCCTTTTCATAACAGATATTTTGTTTTCCCCTTCACCATCTGGAATGAAAGTCATAGAAAATACGGTATACCTATATACTCAATTAAAAAATCAATATGATGCCTTAAGTGAAATATTAAGGAGAAATAAAAGGAAAGTAATGTGTAGTAAAATAATATATACTACACTATATAAGTGGTCGGACATGGCTGCACTAGAAGGCATAAATCTTTAAATATTTACTCCATGCATAGAATCACCCTGTGTGTAACAGCTGCAAGTGAAGTTCGATATACATGTATTGTTTTAGCAACTCAGAAACCTTCAGCGGTACTGCCTGTGGTGATGTCAGTCTTTGAAGCCATGAACGACTTTTGGTAAAGTTACAAACAAAACAAAGTGCGGTCTTCTGTTGATTTACAAAATAGTTGTATTTGTGAAAAATTTACTGTGTATTGAAAAATGCTTTGGGTTTATATATAAGTTGGAATTAGGTTGTTAGTTCAGGTCATTATAAGCAGGTACTTTACGGGAATGTCTGAAGAGACATTCAAGAATCATGAGGGATGTGGGACAATTTTTCATTGTCCGGGACTGTCCTGAGCATCACAGACTTTCACTCACTACCCTTCAGTCATTGTGACAATCTAAGACACTGCCACAAATGTCCAAGTAAACCTCTAGGGGGAATTATTGCTGCCAGTGACAACCATTTGCCTAAACTAACAAAGATTTATTTTCAGAGGCCGGTTAGCGGTTCAGCTTCCCTGTAGGATTTGGCCAACAATCTCAGAATTGGGTCACCAATGAGAAAGTACATGCGCATATATATGTTAGAAGGTAGTAAGCAGAACATTATCTAGACTTTCCATCTAGACTTAAGTCTCAAACAGGGCCTGTTGGATTTGGCCAGTGGCTTTTAAAGCAGATGGCTGGAGTCATAATAGTGTAGTAGGTGAGGAGGTTGGCTTTGGCATCAGACATGCTGGGGTCCTTTTCTGGTTCCTTCATTTACTAGTGATGTGACCTTGTACTAGTTACAGAGATCTCTGAACTTCAGATTTCTTTTCTGTAAAATATGAACATAGAACCTGCCTCAGAGGAGTTGTATGGATTAAATGAAATAATTTGTGTAAAGTACCTATAAACTGTTGGGACTACATCAAAGTAAAAAGTTTCTGCACAGTGAAGGAAACAATCAACAAAACTAAAAGGCAACCCACTGAATGGGAGAAGAGATTTGCAAATAAAATATCCGATAAAGGTTTAGTATCCAAAATCTATAAAGAACTGATAAACTCTGTACCCCAAAACCAAATAATCCAATTAAAAAAATGGGCAGAAGACATGAACAGACATTTCTCCCAAGAAGACATACAGATAGCCAACAGACACATGAAAAGATGCCCAACATCACAGATCATCAGGGAAATGCAAATCAAAACCGCAATGAGATATCACCTCACACCTGTCAGAATGGCTAAAATAAAAAACACAAGAAACAACAAGTCTTGGCGAGGATGTGGAGAAAAAGGAACCCTCTTGCGCTGTTGGTGGGAATGAAAATTGGTGTAGCCACTGTGGAAAACAGTATGGAGGTTCCTCAAAAGACTAAAAATAGAGCTACCCTATGATCTAGGAATCACATTACTGGATATTTACCCCAAAATACAAAAACACTAAATCGAAGGGATACATGCACCCTCATGTAGCATTATCAACAATAGCCAAACTATGGAAGCAGCCCAAGTGTCCACCAATAGATGAATGGATAAAGGAGATGTGGTATATACGTAATAATAATGTGGAATATTATTCAGCCATAAAAAGAATGATATCTTGCCATTGCAAAAACATGGATAGAGCTAGAGAGTATAATGCTAAAGCAAAATAAATTGGTCAGAGAAAAGACAAATACCATATGATCTCACTCATATGTGGAATGTAAGAGACAAAACAAATGAACAAAGGAAAAAAAGACAACCAAGAAACAGTCTCTCTCTTTTTTTTTTCAGATTTCTTTCTTTATTTATTTGACAGAGAGAGAGATAGTGAGAGCAGGAACACAAGCAGGGGGAGTGGGAGAGGGAGAAGCAGGCTTCCCACAGACCAGGGAACCCGGTGTGGGGCTCGATCCCAGGACCCTGGGATTATGACCTGGGCCGAAGGCAGACGCTTAACGACTGAGCCACCCAGGTGCCCCAGAAACAGTCTCTTAACTATAGAACAAACAGATGGTTACCAAAGGGGAGATGGGTGGGGGGATGGGGTAAATAGGGGATGGGGATTAAAGAGTACACGTATCATGATGAAAATAAAATAAAATGATAAAAAAACAAGTCCCTGGATCCTAGTAGGCACTTAATGAAATGTAGTTAAATAACATAAAACACATCAATTTATCATCATTGACTTGGGCTAAGTTGGCTGTTTGTTTTCCTTTGATAGGCAAGTGGACATTTCTATGTGGAATTAGAAGCTTCACAGGTTTTGTGAGATGTGCTTTTAATTAACATGAAATGTGAAGCATTATGACTTGAATAAAATATGTATTCATTGTGTTCTTTCCAGCTACAAGCCTTCCAACCATTTTTCATTTTTTTGAATCTTCCCTACTCTGTTATCAGAGGTGAAGAATTTGCTTTGGAAGTAACCATATTCAATTATTTGAAAGATGCCACTGAGGTAATATATTAAAGGTTTTGTTAATCATTCACACTTCAGGAAAGAATGGAGAAAATGCACAGGGATTGGGTTGTTAATGTTTGGGTATCTGGGAATCTAAACATTTTATACATTTCTGAGAGACTGAAAATAAACATAGATTTCTTCTACTTATTAATGTCTAAGGATAGTATTAGCGTCTATATATTCTCTTCATTTCCAGCACAGGTTTTCTGCTTTAGGCGCATGACTTCCTTGCTGTCTCTGAGGCAGGTCTTTCTCTTTCCTGCCTGCCTGTACTTTTTCCTAGTCCTCCTTGCATCTAGAAGGTGTTGCTTCTTCTCATTGGCATTCTGTGCTTCTTGCGGTTGGCATGGAATGGAGGAGGAGAGCATAGAGAAATGAAGTTTTCCCTGATAACGCTCTCATCCTGTCCTTGGCTGCATCTCTCTCCTCTTTCTCTAGTCTTGCACCTCACAGATTTAACAGTACTTAACATGGTAATAAAGCAACACTTTCCTGAGGAGCATTTATCATATAAAACTTTTGATAATTTTCCTTCCAGGTTAAAGTAATCATTGAGAAAAGTGACAAATTTGATATTCTAATGGCTTCAAATGAAATAAATGCCACAGGACACCAGCAGACCATTCTGGTCCCCAGTGAGGATGGGGCAACTGTTCTTTTCCCGGTCAAGCCCACACATCTGGGGGAAATTCCTATCCCAGTCACAGCCATTTCACCTGCTGCTTCTGATGCTGTCACCCAGAGGATTTTAGTAAAGGTAAATATTTGAAGTCTTGAATAAGTGAAGAGAAATACATAATTGAAACAGAAGATGGTTTTTCTCTTGGTTAAATTTGTTGGCAAGATCTAGTAGGTCATCTCCTCCATCCTCCTGGTATTGTCTAATTGTTTTCTCATCTGTATGTAGAGATATATGTTTTAGAAGTAATTGCCAATTTCCTCTTTAAGTTTATGGTATGCCTATATAGCAAATCTCTTTTGCCGTCAATTACATTTAGCAACTGTTACATTGGGGTCCTGTTAAATCATGCCAAGTTGATATGTAGATTTTGAATTTTGGAATTCCTCAATACGGTTAGAAGAGATTTTGTAGATTTTTTTTTTTAGAGAAGGTATTATGCGGAAAAAGACAGCTCAGTCTAGTGGATAAACACTTTTCTGGGGGAGACAGCCCTAGGTTCAAATCCCAGCTCTGTCAAGTGTGACTTTGGACAAGGTATTTAATCTCTCTTTGGATAATAATATGATTTACCTCAGAGGGTTTTTTCATCACCTTTGCATCTTCTCCTTTGTCATTTCAATTGCCATTTCATGAAATGTCTTGTTTACTTTAACTAGAAAGTAAACATTTATTAACAGATTTGAAGCAGGAATCAAAAACAGGTATTTATCTAATTGTACACATACTGCGGACACGACAGGCAAGATGTTTATCTTATTATTTGCATAAAGTTCTCTGTAAACAGATGAGTAGAGATGATGTTAATCGTGTTCCTTTTTTTCCAACAGGCTGAAGGAATAGAAAAATCGTATTCACAATCCATCTTGCTAGACTTGACTGACAACAAGTTACAAACTCCCCTGAAAACTTTGAGTTTCTCATTTCCTCCCAACACAGTGAGTGGTAGTGAACGAGTTCAGATCACTGCAATTGGTAAGAATACAGTATATCACCATCACTACTGGTTTATTAGTATATGACTGTACATGTATTTTTTAATCTATTTATGGATGTATTTTCTTATTTAGTCCTAATGAGAAGAGGTTGCAAAAATTTTTAGTTGGTACCAACTGATGATCACAATAGAAAGACTAGCAGATATGTGTCCTAGACCAGTTCTTAATCGCAGTGTGCATTGAATCATGTGGGGTTCTTGTTTAAAGGAAGATGCTGGTGTAGTAGGCCTGGGGTGGGGCCTTGGGTTGTGTATTTCTAACAAGCTCCCAGTTGATGCTGATGCTTCCGGTGGATAGACCACTCTTTGGGTAGCAGGACCCACTATAATGTGGCTGGAGGGAGGGGTTATTTCTAAGAGCAGAGCTTCTGTCCTCTGTGGCTCTCGACCTCGGGTACATAATCAGAATCTTCTGTGGAGCTTTGTAAAAACACAGGCTCCACTTTCAACCTACATAATCCGAGTTTCTTTTCTTTTTTTTTTTTTAGATTATTTATTTATTTGACACAGAGAGAGACACAGCAAGAGAGGGAACACAAGCAGGGGGAGTGGGAGAGGGAGAAGCAGGCCTCCTGCTGAGCAAAGAGCCCAACTTGGGGCCAGATCCCAGGACTCTGGGATCACGACCTGGGCTGAAGGCAGACGCCTAATGACTGAGCCACCCACGCGCCCCCACAATGAGAATTTCTTTTTCTTTTTTTTTTTTTAAAGATTATTTATTTATTTATTTGACAGAGAGAGACACAGCAAGAGAGGGAACACAAGCAGGGGGAGTGGGAGAGGGAGAAGCAGGCTTCCCGCTGAGCAGGGAGCCCGATGTGGGACTCGATCCCAGGACCCTGAGATCATGACCTGAGCCGAAAGCAGACGGTTAACGACTGAGCCACCCAGGCGCCCCGCAATCAGAATTTCTTAAGCTATGGCTAGGGTGTGTATATTTTGAAAAGGTTTCACAAGTGCTTTTGATGACCAAAGGTTGAGTACTGTTGCCTAGAGCAGTTCTCTATGAGGGAGGCAGATAACCTTTACAGCAGGAAGAAACCCAATGAGTTCATCCTCTCCTAGTCACCTTCTGGCAACCCAAAATTATTTTTTATTTTTTATTTTTTTTTAAAGATTTTATTTATTTATTTGACAGAGACAGAGATAGCGAGAGCAGGAACACAAGCAAGCGGGAGTGGGAGAGGGAGAGCAGGCTTCCCGCTGAGGAGGGAACCCGATGTGGGACTCGATCCCAGGACCCCGGGATCATGACCTGAGCCGAAGGCAGACGCTTAACGACTGAGCCACCCAGGCGCCCCAAAATTATTTTTTTGTCAGTTGTTAAACATAGCTTCCACACAAATGATTTGCTTATATAGCTGCGCTTCACAAATAACTGAAGGAAATATTTAGATTAATGAAGATTAATGAATCTAAATAGTTTGTTAGGTTTTCAAGATGTCAGGACCTAAGGCACTTTTTTAGAGATTCTTTTAAATCTCCTCATTACACTCATAGGTGTAATGCTCTCCATTATAACTCAACCAACCAGTCCCTCTATAGAGGACTTTTTGGGAGCCTTAGTTATAATTCTTAACAAGAATTAAATAAGCTCTCTACTCAGGGGAATGAATTCTCCCATAGTGTTGGGATGCTGGAAGGTGCAGCATACACATGGGGGGGAATGCAGTACACACACACACACACACACACGGAAGAAGCCTTGAATTTCAAATGTATTCCACCACTCCTTACATTGGAATGAATCTATCTTTGGTTATTGAAATACTCTTGAGGGTTGATTTTTTTTTTAAAGATTTTATTTATTTGTGTGTGTGTGAGAGAGAGCACAAGCAGGGGGAGCAGCAGAGGGAGAAGCAGATGCCTGGCTGAGCAGGGAGCCTGATGTGGGACTTGATCCCAGGACCCCGGGATCATGACCTGAGCTGGAGGCAGACGCTTAACTGACTGAGCCACCCAGGCACCCCTCACAGTGGGGTCAGAATTAGAACTCAGCCTCTGTATTTCTGAAGTTTTACTTATTTCCCTGAGTCATAGTGTTAGAATGTGGGTAGAGGTGTCTTCTTTTTATTTATTTATTTATTTATTTTTTAAAGATTTTATTAATTTATTTTGCAGAGACACAGCAAGAGAGGGAACACAAGCAGGGGGAGTGGGAGAGGGAGAAGCAGGCTTCCCGCAGAGCAGGGAGCCCGATGTGGGGCTCGATCCCAGGACCCTGGGATCATGACCCGAGCCAAAGGCAGATGCTTAACGCCTGAGCCACCCAGGTGCCCCTAGAGGTGTCTTTTATTATTTTTTATTTTTTAAAAGATTTTATTTATTTATTTGACAGAGAGAGACACAGTGAGAGAGGGAACACAAGCAGGGGGAGTAGGAGAGGGAGAAGCAGGCTTCCCGCGGAGCAGGGAGCCCGGTGTGGAACTCGATCCCAGGACCCTGGGACCATGACCTGAGCCGAAGGCAGACACTTAACTACTGAGCCACCCAGGCGCCCCGAAGTGTCTTTTAGGAATTTTGTTTAATTGTATATTACTAACTTTGAAGAATATTCCTAATCCTTTTTGATCCCGAGATTCATTGAAATACTTCTATGTGTTAATTCTACTGTGTTTTTGCTAAAGAGAACACATTAAAAAATACTACAATCCTTGCCCTTAAAAAAAAATCGTTTCTCAAGTGTTTATAGTGTATTAGTAAGAAATCAGAGTGAAGTTCTAGTTATGTGAAGAACACTACTAATAAAACATTTCTTTCCTATATAAAAATGATGGTTTCCTAATGGTCGATTCCTGCCATTTTTGTTGAAGAATGGTTTTTTAAGCTTATTTTTTTTGCCTAGCGTATGCCGCATCTTTACCTGAGCTAGAAGTCTGATTTGTCCCATCATCTATGAGTTTGGTGCCACTGTGCTGTCAGCTATTTATTTGACCAGTCTTCCTAAAAGCTTGACGAAAAGTCTGTCGTCTGTTCCAAGCAGTGGAGTAATCATCGCTTCAATGTCAGCCACCTTCTGTACTCCGCGGAAGTCTCCTGGCCACCAGGACTATTTGCTGATTGTATCGAATATCTTGTGTTTTCAGGAGATATCCTTGGTTCTTCCATCAATGGCTTAGCCTCATTGATTCGGATGCCTTATGGCTGTGGTGAACAGAACATGATAAATTTTGCTCCCAATATTTATGTTTTGGATTACCTGACTAAAAAGAGACAACTGACAGAAAACTTAAAAGAAAAAGCCCTTTCATTTATGAGGCAAGGTAAGCATTTTAGAAATATACTTTCATTTGTAAATTTCTTTTCTTCTTCTTTTTTTTTTTTTTTTTAGGGAGAGTCCACTCTAGACCGTATTTCAGTATAGACCGATTTGTCTTTGCTGTGCGATTGTAGGACTAGATGGTGTTGAAATGCGTTACAAGTACAAGCCGCCGGAAGCTGTCACCCTTCTTCCTGCAGCTAATTGTCACTAATTGTTGCCAACATGTTAAGGAGTTAGCGTCTAGAGGGGTTTGTATTTTAATAAGGGACGTGACATTTAAAGCTCCCGAAAAATCTAGAGGACTGAGTGTTCATTTATTCATCACACATTTATGGAGTATCTGTTGGTGCTGGTGTCAGCTCTGCGGCTGAGGAAACAGAGGAGCTCAGGGCGTTCCTTCTCAAGGAATTCCCTGTTCAGGGAAGACAGTTTGTACAGACACACTTGGGGCGTCATGGGGTGGGTACCTTCTCAGTGCATTTAAAGTGTCAGGTAGGTGGGAGGGCATCAGAAGATGCCACACTGGTGGTTACTGTCCCCTGACTCCTAGAGAGGCTGATACTCTTCACAGACACCAGATGCTTTGTGTCTGCACCTTGCAAATAACAACAGCTGTCATTAGCTGAGCGCTTATATGTGCCAGGCAGTGTTCTAAGCACTTTATACCTAATGTCTCATTTAATGCTCGCAGTGTTAGTATTGCCCTCCTGTTTTTACAGATGAGGAAACCGAGACACAGAAAAGTTAATTAACTTGCCCGGGGTCACATAGCAAGTGAGTGGCAGAGCTGAGATTTGAACTCACTGCCTGACCCCAGAGCTCATGTGCTTAATGTCCATACTTAGACAAAAACAACAACATTTTTAATAATAATAACGTGTAAGTTTGATTTCCTCAAATACTCCAGAAGCCAGCCACCCAAAGTTACAGGCTCGGTTTTGCGCTTCCATGTTAGGGGACTTCTAGCAACATCTCTTTTTTTTTTTTTTTTTTTTTTAAGATTTATTTATTTATTTATTTATTTATTTGAGAGAGAGAGAGAATGAGAGAGAGCAAGCACATGAGAGGGGGGAGGGTCAGAGGGAGAAGCAGACTCCCTGCTGAGCAGGGAGCCCGATGCGGGACTCGATCCCGGGACTCCAGGATCATGACCTGAGCCGAAGGCAGTCGCTTAACCAACTGAGCCACCCAGGTGCCCATCTAGCAACATCTCTTTGTGGCTGAGTTTATCTGTCTACACAGTTTGGGAGACCTGCTGCCCCTCAAACTCATGAGGATTAGAATGGTTTATGCAAAATGCTAAAAAAAAAACTACCCCTTGTTCAGTATAATCTAAAAATCAAGTCAACACTTCCCAACTCCTAAGTGTTTTATTTATTGGTATTTTTTTGGAAGGAATGGGTTGAATGCAAATCGAGGCAAGCTGTTAGTGGTTTTTGCTAACTTCTCCACAGTTAAGAATTAGAAAGCTTAAAGACACTATTTTGATGTGAGCTTTTCTTCCAGGTTCCCTCATTATGTAAGGACTTGTTTATCCTAAACTAAATTTTATGTTACAGTGGTAATAACTAACCCTGTTTAAAGGCTTTGAAAATGTTTTCATTTAGTTCTTTTCTTCCTTTCTTAAGATTACCTATTTATTTATTTATTTGAGAGAGAGAGAGAGTGCACACGAGCGAGTGTGCATGAGTGTGTGCTCGATGGGTGGAGGGGCAGAGAGAGAGGGAGGTAGAATCTTAAGCAGACTCTGTGCTTAGCACGGAGCCCAACGCAGGGCTGGATTTCACGACCCTGAGTCATGACCTGAGCTGAAACCAAGAGTCAGATGCTTAACTGACTGTGCCACCCAGGCGCCCTATGTTTTCACTTAATTCTTACGAAAATCCTAGGAGATGGGTGTACTGATATTATTTCCATTTTACAGATGAGGAAACTGAGGCACAGGGAGGTTATATAACTTACCCATGATTACTCCCCAGGTGATCTGGTTCTGGAATTCATGTTCTTCCTCAGATCGATATGGGATGTTTACTTTGCAACGTTTTTAGGTTGTTAAAAGCCATAAGCTTAGGATGGAAAAGGTCCAGTAATTGGCCAAGATGATTGAACATGGTCAGTGTGCAAGAGGTCTCAGTGGGGCTTCTGATAAAATAGTAAGGGGGAGCATGGGCTCTTATAGGGAAGGAGACAGCAAAGGTTAGAATCTGGTGTCAGGTTAGACCACGGTGAGCTGTAAGATGTGGGATCCAAGAGGATGAGCTGGTGGGGGTCCAAAGCTCTCCCTAGGGTAGGCTGGCAGAGATAAGAGCTGGGAGGGAGGAAGGGGGTTGTGAGTCAGGAACCATGTGCTGCAGGAGAGGACAAACTGAGGGAGACCAGGGATTGGAGTCAGAGCTGAGTGTGAACTGAGTGTTGCTGTGGGGAGGGAGAGAGTGGTATATTTTCCCTCAGATTAGAGCCAGGCCCTGCATGACTGGGATGTGGTTAGGTCTTCAGGAAATTCTCAGAGATCTACCAATTGGTACTTTCCATACAGAGCTATTTAAGATTATCCTCCTTCATACATATATTTGTGGATCAGTCATATTTAAACATATAAATACGAAAGCTGCTTTTTTCAAGTTCTTTTGTAATTAGGTTTAAGAAGTGGTATCGAGTGCTCTTGGTGGTACAGTGTATGCCATGCTAAAAAGAAAAATGAGATTTTACACATTGCCATAATGGTTATACTTAAGGAGATGAAAAATATTTGGAATTGTCTTAATTTAACTGCACCTTTTAAAAACAAGGTTCTGACTTGTATTCAAAATTCAGTGTGACTGGCTTCAAGCAGAAAGTAGGTAGGAACTATACTGTTGCTTTATAATTGGATACACATTCTTTGGGCTAATTTAATAAAATAAGGTAAAAAATTTTAGAAAGTGCCCCATAATTCCATATTTTTTTTTTTTTAAAGATTTTATTTATTTATTTGACAGAGAGACACAGTGAGAGAGGGAACACAAGCAGGGGGAGTGGGAGAGGGAGAAGCAGGCTTCCCGCTGAGCAGGGAGCCCGACGCTGGGCTCGATCCCAGGAGCCTGGGATCATGACCTGAGCCGAAGGCAGACGCTTCGCGACTGAGCCACCCAGGCGCCCCAATATTATTATATTATTAAAAGATTTTTTTTTTAAATTTATTTGACAGAGAGAGACAGTGAGAGAGGGAACACAGCAGGGGGAGTGGGAGAGGGAGAAGCAGGCTTCCCGCTGAGCAGGGAGCCCGATGTGGGGCTTGATCCCAGGACCCTGGGATCATGACCTGAGCCGAAGGCAGACGCTTCGCGACTGAGCCACCCAGGCGCCTCAATATTATTATATTATTAAAAGATTTTTTTTTTTAATTTATTTGACAGAGAGAAACAGTGAGAGAGGGAACACAGCAGGGGGAGTGGGAGAGGGAGAAGCAGGCTTCCCGCTGAGCAGGGAGCCCGATGTGGGGCTTGATCCCAGGACCCTGGGATCATGACCTGAGCCGAAGGCAGACGCTTAACGACTGAGCCACCCAGGCACCCCCCATAATTCCATATTTTATATGCTTCATGAATTGTAATGTTGGCTAGTCAAATATCAGTGCTATAAAAAAAAAGACAGAATGAATTTTCTAGTTTGAACCATTTAAGGACTGATAAAATGATAAAATCATCCCTTAAAGATAAGTAGAGTTGTGTTCTAGATACTTTGCTCTGGGTTAGCAGAGGTTCCTAAAAAATGAACGCTCCAAATCCTTGGTATCTTTTTTTTTTTTTTTCCCCGCAAAAGGAGTGCTGGTCCCTCAGGCCAGCCCTTAGCCAGGCTGAGCGCCCATCTGCAGTATTTTTAGCCAGGCTGAGCACCAATCTGCAGTATTTCAAAGCCGGTCTCGGCAGGGGGGTGGAGAGGTGAGGGGTGAGGGGGGCTGCATCTCCTTGATGCTTGGGAGCCTTCCTCACACGTGCTGGTTGTTAGAAGGTGCAGAGGGCCAGAGGGCAGAAAAAACATGGTTCTCTAAAGGCCACATAGTCTTGCAAGCTGCCATAGGCATGAAGAGCACTACTTCTGTGAGGTAGGCCAGCCCCACCTTGGGGGACAGAACCCCCTGGTTACAGCACCAGCTATGGAGGGGGTCACACCCGGGCTCTGAGTCCTACCTCCTGCTCTGGGCCTGTTTTCCCACCTGTAAGATAGGGGTAATAAAGTACCCACTTCGTGGGGGCTGTTTTGAAGATGAAATAAGATATTTTAGTACTTTAACACAGTAAATGCCCAATAACTGTTAGCTGTAGTGTATGCAGTTAGTTGCATCTGGCCGGGGACTTAGGGTTCACAGTTAGCAAGGAAACCCTGTCCATCTGCCTCAGAAACAAATGTGAGGTTCTTCCCTCTTTCCATCCCACTTGGACACCGTCACTGCTCAGCTGCACAACTCCAGTGCTTCCTTTTAGAAAGCTCTCTGCTTCTCGGTCCACTCCCCTTCAATACAGGCTCCACATGTAATAAAAGGGACATTTGTTTTTTAAGATTTTATTTATTTGTCAGAGAGAGAGCTCGAGCACAAGCAAGGGGAGCGGCAGGCAGAGGCAGAGGGAGAAGCAGGCTCCCCGCTGAGCAGGGAGCCCGATGCGGGGCTCGATCCCAGGACCCTGAGATCATGACCTGAGCCGAAGGCAGACGCTTAACTGACTGAGCCACCCAGGCATTCCAATAAAAGGGATCTTTTGAAAATGTTAAAATCAGGTCACTTACTTGCTTAAAATTCTCTAATGGGTTCTGCAGTGGGTGACCTGGCCTTGGCCTCCATCTCTCACCTCACTGAGGCTGCCCTGTCTTGGCTCCCCCTTGGCTCCATCTGGAGCCCTCCCGGCTCCGTGGTGCTTCAGGACTTAAACCTGCACTTCCTTCTCCTGGAATCCTCCCATGGCTGGCTCCTTCTCATCGTTTAAGTGGTGTTTCCCTCAGAGTGGCCTTCCCTTCCCATTTAGG